CAGGCTCCGGCCGCCTGTGGACACCCAGGTAGGCCACCTGCCCACCCAGGGTGCACATGGGCGGCCTACTCCGCAGGCTCCGGCCGCCTGTGGACGCCAGGGTAGGCAACCCGCGCGTCCGGGGTGCTCACGGGCGGCCTACCGCCCAGCTGCGGGCGCCAATAGAGCGATAGCTGTAGGCGGGCGGGGCCGACAGAAAGAGGATAGCCGGCGCATCGACGGCAGGGCGGCACCGGCGCACCAGGCGGAGCAGTGACTGTGCATGGCTTGGGGCCCAAGGTCGACAGGTCCCGCCCCGCCGCGCCCCGCCGCGCCCCGCTAGCCAGGCACAGCGCAGTGCTCGCTATCGGGTACATACCCGGCGCGGCCGGACACACACACAAACACACACACACTACTTTGAATCGAGTGCGAAAGCCATTCCACTCACTCTGAACGGAACCGATAACCCCGATTAACAACTTGTAATAATTAAAACTTAAAAAAAAATTGTCCAAGTGAATCCACTGCTGAACCACCGAGGGGTTGGCTTGCATACCCTCCACATCCCCTCTGTACATCCCTCCCCCTCTCCCCTCTCTCTGCTGTCCCTCACTCTCTCCCATTCTCTCTCACTCTCTCTTCCTCTCCCGCCCTATCTCCGCTCCGCGTCCGGCACTTCTTGTGGTTCGACGGCACACACCGGGCCCTGCAGCTCCTTCTCCTCCTCCTCCTCTTCCTCCAGACGTCAACAGTTCCTGGAACCTGTGGCACTTGGGGCGTCCCCGCCCATCCTCGCCTCACGCCCCACCGGACCAGCCGGTAGTAAACACCGAAAAGGTTGTTATTTATCACAGAGTCGAAAAAACAAAACACACACACACACACACACACTTTTTTGTCATCAATTTTGCCAGTGCAGGCGACTGTGCCAATATTTCCCTCGAGTTTTCGTTGTTTTTTGTTTTTTTCTGTTCTACATTGGTCGCCGAAATTTCGTCGGCGCGGGAGTGGTGGACAAACTTCGCGGGCTGCGAGCTCGCGGCATCAGTGTTGCCAACGAGGCAGGAGAACAGTTCCCGCGCGAATGTACATTTTGCATGGAGCGCACCCGCGTCTGCTTAGCATTCAGTAACATTCAGGCACATGGCACATGGATGCAGGCCGTTCCACTCACGCCCACCTGGTCGGCAGCACTGCTGCTCGCGCGACAATTAGAAGCGAACGCTTCCCACATATTTGGCGGAGCGGCGTCAGTCCGCGCAGAAGCAGGGTAATTGCAGGAGCCGAGCCAGCCGGGCCGGGTCAGCTGATCCACCAGGGGGGGGGGCGGCCTTGAAGCTGGCCCGGGCCGGCGGGGGGGGGGGGGGGCACCGGTCACCGGCTGACGGCCCGTCCACCAGCGGACTCGCCATAGTCGCAACCTCTACTCCCCTGCCCTAGCCATAGGGGCTGCTGGCTTCAACTAGACTGACAGAACTACCGACTGTCTGGCTGACTGAACTACTGGCTGGCTGGCTGACTGAACTACTGGCTGGCTGGCTGGCTGACTGGACTACTTACTGGCTGAATGAACTACTCACTGACAGACTGGACTACTGACACACTGAATGGACTACTTACTGACGGACTGGACTACTGAGAGACTGGACTGCTGACCGACTGGACTGCTACTGACAGACTGAACTACTGACTGACAGACTGACAGACAGACAGACAGACAGACAGACAGACAGACAGACAGACAGACAGACAGACAGACAGACAGACAGACAGACAGACAGACTGACAGACCCAGGAGTAACCGGCCTCCCTCCAGGCTACACCAGGTCAGCGGGTCCACGTTGACGGTCCCCTGACCCCGCAGCAACAGTGGGGCGGGGGCCGGGCCGGGCGGCCAGCGAAAGGAGCAGCAGCACCACAGTGACACATGTGCGCAGCTGTCGCGCCAACGCTATCAGGACCACAACGCGCAGTCAGGAACGCACGCAGTGGAGTTCATAGAGAACCCATGACTTTTGCACTCCGGGGTCCAAATATCACGGCGTCTTCATGAACTCGCGTTGGGATCCAAACGGGGTGATCCTGAACCTGACAGGTCGCAATACTGCCCCCCCCCCCACCCTACGGCACGTAGTGTCTGGACGGTCCCCTAAGTGGCGCTGAATCGAAATCAATCTCGCATACGCCCGGGCTGAGCTATGGGATGGGGATTCCGAGATGATTCCCCGAAGCTCGCGAGGCGACGGTTAGCGCCGCCGGTAAACACCGCTGGCGCTCGCTCGCTCGCTCGCGCGGTGAAATGCCACTCATCGGGACGGGAGGGAACTGCTCGCTGGAAGTGATTGCTCGCGCGTGGTGGTAGATCGCGCAGCAGACGGAAAGAGCAGAGAGGGGGGCGGGGCGGGGGATGTCGGCGAGGACCGCGGCGCGGGCAGAAAGTGAACTCTCGGGACACGATTACTCGCAAAGCCGAGAGCCGAGTCAAGGTCACTTTTCACACAATCGCAACACACTGCAGTTATTTCGCAAACTCCGGATAGATGAATAAGTAATAATGGTTGACTTACTCGACTAATAATTTGAGCTGACAAAAGGAATACTCCTAACTCTGACTGACTGACTGACTAACTGACTGACTGACTGACTGACTGACTGACTGACTGACTGACTGACTGACTGACTGACTGACTGACTGACCAACTAGCTGATTGACTGACTGACCAACTAGCTGATTGACTGACTAACTTAACTAACTGACTGTAAACTATCTGATTGAACGACTGAATGACTAACTAACTGACTGTACAACTAACTGATTGAACAACTGACTGACTGAACAAATGACTGTATGGCGGGCTGACTGTAGTGCCTGCTCCACTATCCAGCTTCCAGGACAGCACGGAAACGACTCATTTTTCGTTGTATTTCTTTTTCCAAACTGTTCGTGTGTCCGTCCGCGTGTCTGTCTGCCCGTCTGTCTCGTGCCGCGCCAGCAGCCGCCAGGCATGCGATGTGGGTGACAACTGTCAGCTACACACAAACATCCACACACGAGCACACAGACACACACACAGTAGTCTAACAGCGTCTAGGACTAAGGCGGTCCAGGACGATGCCTGGCTTCCCTTTCATCTATCCCAGCCGCAGTCTCTCTCCTTCTCTCTCTATCTATCCATCTCTCGCGGACCAGCAGCAGCAGCAGCAGCAAGCCTCTTCTCATCCTCATAAGATGAGCCCTCAATGGAATCTGACCGGGAGACCTCAAGCAGGATCTCATCCCCCCCTCCCCCCTCCCCCCTCCCGGTGCTGAGGCTGGCTCAGCCGCGATGGAGCACCGCCTACCGATGAGCTGGGACCGGCTCGGCTCGGCTCGGCAGCTCGACTCGGCTCGGCTCGGCTCGGCGAACCACCACAACACACTGTCATCCCGCACTCACTCACTCACCTAGGACGGCCTGTAGATCGTGGTCTTCTCCTAGGTCGTCCATGTCCGGCCCCGGCCGCGCGCTGCTTCAGGCCATGTCCTCACCTCGGGACCAGCGCTCCGGACACCGCGGCCCCGTCGTCGGGGAGCATAGAGGACCCCGCGAAGCTCGCTCGCCAGCCCGGTCGCACTCACTGGCCACGGCCAGGGGCCCAACAACTCGCTCGCGGCTCCGCCTGCTCCGCTCGGTGCGGCTGCTCGGCTGCGGCTCGCTGCTGCTCGCGGCTGGGCTCGCTCAGGCGGCTCGGCTCGGCCCCGACCCGAGGTTCCGACTACCTTTCTCGGCAGTCAACACCACTTGTCGCACGTCAGAGGCGGCGCGTCACGTGAGCCCGCGAGCCGCACACCGCCCTCTCGCGGACGATCGGTTAGGCCCCTCGCGGCTCCAGCGGCGGCAGCCCTACCGCGGGGCCCGGCCCGCGGTCCGTCCTGGTGCCCCTCGCGACCGCGCAGGTGGCGCGCGGCGCGCCAGACCTGCAGCGCGAGCACCTGGACGCGCGCGAAAGACAGCTGAATGCGAACGGCTCGACGTCGGGGACGGACACATATACCCGCCAGACAAAACGAGTAAAATAACCATTTTTATTTGCTGTGCTGCGATTGATGGCATGCACCGTCGGCATACTGCGGTCCTCTCTCATTTGAGGCACTCACTCACCCATCCTAGACATGCGACCTGAAGGAAGGTAGCCCCCTCGTGTGACGGGTGGGCTGCGCGGACAATTTCTCAATGTTTGGCCACTCGGTTGCCCAGGCAACGCGTGACATTCCTGAGCCAAGTCGCGTCTTCTGCTTCTGTGTTTTCCACCGAAACTATCAAAATAGGGAGCCGTGGAAGCGTCAGTGTCCGAAAGACGTCATACCTTTTCCAGTAAGTAGAAGGGGAGTGGTGCGAGCAGCCTCTCTTCGAGAGCGTCATCGTGCTCATGAGTTAGTTACTGTCCTGGGGGGAATGACAGCATATCAATTTGAGGTTATGTTTATTTGTTATGTTGACTGTCATCATACTGGTCTTACCTAATTCACCTTTGACGTTTCTCTATAATGGGTTTTACTGAAATGTGCAAGTCAGTATCCTCTATGTGTTGTATTTACAGAAATGCCTGACAATACTACAGAGGAGATTTTTAGCTCACCCCAGATCAACATTCCCCCTACTTTTCCATTCATTCTGAAGCAGTATGCGAAAGCTGCCATTCGCACTCAGCCATATGATCTATTGAGGTGGTCAGCTTCCTACTTCAGAGCTCTTGCTAAAGGAGAAGAACCTCCGATCAAGGATCGCTTGGAGTACCCTCCCCCAGATACTCCATCTGGTTTGTCGCCAGGATATTTGAAAGTGTTGATTAAACAGGTAACTTAGCATAAACATATAACTTCTCAGTTTAGGATGTTCAACCTACCACCTACTTTATCTTTGATGTGCGTGTGTTTGTGTTTGAAAGATTGGAAAAGGAGGAGTGGTGACTGTCAGTCAGTTAATGGAACGATGGAGTGGAATTTGCTTGGCTGAGGAACCTTTGCAAGAAATGCTTGCTGTGGGACAGTTTGGTGAAACATTCGACTGGTTACATTTTGTTGCTGTAGCTGCAGGGTTCCTCTCCAATGTAGGTACCCACACAAATTATCAATCTATGTGCTAAATTTCTGAAAAGTAATTATGTTTTGTATATTTTCAGAATCTCACACAAACAATGGTTTTGCTTTGCAACCTTTTGACGGATGAACCAGACGGAGGGTCTGCTATGATTCCGCTGCAAATATTTACAAAGCTCTACACTTTCCTTGCATCTCTTGACTGTGGGGGCATTGATGACCAAGATGAGGAGAGTGAGGAACAGCGTCAATATATCATATCAGCAGGTATCCTTATCCACATGCTGTAGATTTAACATTGCCACTCGCTGCCTGAGTGCTGGCTGTTCCTTCAACAGGGCTTAGGGATGAAGTCAGCTTGTACTCCCGTGATTCAGCTTCCTTGAAAAGAGAAAGCGTTGAGTCCTGTCCAACAGACCCTTCCATTTACAAAGTTAACTGGGGGTCCCACAGTGCACATCAGCTCTACGTGGAGACAAGCAGCCCCTTCCCTAGTCCAAATTCATCACGTCCTTGCACTCCTTACCACAATATGGAAAATGCTAGCACAACTACTCTTACACCTCAATGTAGGCACCATATATTTTTAAGCTGGATATTTTGCCTTAAAAATGCACCATTTCACTTTATTTGCTCATTGAGAGCAATATAAGAGTAAATCAACTCTTGTCTTTTCCAGCCAGCAGAGGTGTCCATCCTGAAAGTGAAGATGGGGCTCACCTGGAGACCTTTTATGATGCAGAAGTGAAAGGTAGCATACACTCAAGTCAAGAATTGACCATTGAGGGAAATAATTTGAAGATGACTGAACCTCTCACCACTTCTCCTGGTTTGTCTTCTGGCTCAGATCATGATAAGAGAAGTGTCAGCTTGATACAACAAAGATCTCTAGATGAACCAAAGTTAACAACCAGTATATCTGCACCAAATACTGCGTATACATATGTAACAGAAAAAGCAAGCCCTTCCAAACCAGCAAACGGTCGCGGAGATGTGGATGAGAAGTTGTTTTCTCCAAAAGTCCTGTCGCAAGAGCCTGTGGTAAAAAGTAAGAGGGTATTTCATGTACCTGGCATTGGTGCTGCTATTGATGCTGTCCAAATGCAAGCTGTGATAGATTATCTTGAAGGTACTTTTCAATTATTTCCTTAAAATCTCTTCTTGATTTATAATACAGTTACTAGCCAAGAAATTGTGCTCAAAATTTATCTTTTTGCAGGTGTAGGTATAAAACAAGATGGAATGGTGAAACCCTGTAACATTCGTCACTTCCTTTGTCCTCCTTTAGAGAAGGTCCCAGCATCTCAGAAAACAAGGGTTTAATTATTGCTCATTAGCATGTTGAATAACTTGCTTTTGTTCCCAGCTTACTGTTCTTCCGTTATTGTAGGAATTTATTACACTGATGTCTCACAAGAGATCAGGTCTTTTTAAAGTCAGTCAAATTTAAAATAATTCTTACTTAGACATACTCTGTTTTTTAGTTTGACACTTAAAAACTTTCTTGCTAAAGTTCTGAAGCCCACATACAAGAAAAGCCTTTTATTATCTTATGCAATCATATTAAGACTAATCTCACCGCTAACACATGAATAGATAGAGAAAATGATTACATGTCGACTTAGGTCAAATTCACGCTGTACCTGCTGTGCACAATGTGATATGAGTATAACTAATGTTACCAAATAAAGTTGCTTAGTGGTTCAAATTTAAAACTTACCTAGAGATGTTCTTGCCTTATTGCTATTGCTTCTTGACAGTTCAGGATTAATATTGCTGCCCATTCTTCATAATAAACAGGTTTTCTTTCAAAACCACTTCCATACATCATTAAGTTTACATATGGAGATCCCTCTATGAAAGAGAATAAAGGCACTACAAGAAACAAACCTTGTACTTATAGATTTGCTTTATTTCTTGATGATGACTAAATCACCAACTTATCAAACTTCACACAAAATCACTTGAAAACAGTCTGGGTTCATTCAACCAAATGTGGTAACAATGTAGGATTGGTTGTCATAATGTTTTTCTATCAAAGCCAATCAGCTAACAAAAATTGTCCTTGTAGCTTGCACTTTCAAATTTAAAAAAAGAGATGCTATAAAACAGTTCAACAAAAGAAACCTGTTTTACTTTTCAATTTTTTTCTGCGACATGATGCCATTTGCAACTAGTACTAGCAAACAAATTGAATTTAGCAGTTGTCCGTGTGTCCATGAAATAGGATGCAGTGTTTGATAAGACTTCCACAACAGTAAAGAAATATCAAGCCCCAATTAATGCAATCCTAAATAAATGAAAATGTAATAAAAAAGTAAATAACAAATTTCCATACACATTTGCACAGAAACCTTCTAGAAAAACACAACAAATCCACAACCCTTAGAAGTTTTCCGCATTAAAATTAATCATCATAAGGTATTGCTAACTTACAACTTTGCAAGACAACTCAGCCACAACTGCCAGAGAGGTAAGAGAATACTATATATTGTACCAGCTGAACCTTTCACCAAAATTTATGTTACATCCATATGACCAATATTTGGAGAGACTTTTCTGAGAAGAAGAGAGTGGGTCCTCAACACGAAATATGCTACTTGTATGTCCTTAAAATTTCTATATCAGGGGTGGGAAGACAATGACAGAGGTTCAAGGAAGGTTAAAAACACCAATGAGCGCTAACTCAAAAGCAAGAGCAATTAAAAAAGATGTTGAATGTAAAATACCAATATTAATCCATACTTTTACGCCAGCATATTGTTACAACACACATACATTTATCAGTTAGAACCAAAAATGAAAAGCACATCACATCTAGAAAATGAAACACTACCATTACAAAATCATTTAAGCATATAAATGTAGAATTTA